CAGGCAGTTGAGCGCTGCCCTTTGAAGATGTCTCAGCCTCTGCAGCGCTGGTTCAATCCCGGCCGGCTGGCATGGGGTCCCACCAGATGGCAGCAGACCTCTCCTGTCTCACCTGCTGCTCCCCTCAGCAATGTATTTCATTGTCTGCCTGTTCTATTTCCTGCTCTGTCTCTGATGATTCCTCTCACCCTCCCACGCATATAGCCTGTACCCTGGTTCTTATATAAAATGAATAAATACATTTAAAAAAAAATGGTTTTAAGGGCTTGACCACCTTGAATGTTAGAATCCTAATTGAAAGGTCTATGTAGGTGAATGAATGTGGGTAGAGAAGAAGTTGGTAAAAGGTGGTGCGGGATATTGCCCAAATGTGTATTACTGCATTAATGTAGATCAAAATGTGGAAGCCTTAAACAAATTATGCAAAGACTACAACAGGAAAGAGGGGGCTCCAACTCCAATCCCACAATCTCATGGCTCCTCCCACTCTTGGGGACAATACTAATGATCACCTTATTTGTTCTTTTCGCTCCTTGCCTCCTAAAATTCATACAGGCTCGCATTCAGGAAATATCCCTCACCACCTTTAACCAACTCCTTTTCCACCCATATTCTTGCTCCTACATCGACCTTTCAAAGTCCACTTTATTTCTCAAAAAAATCTGAACCAAATATAACAAAATAACACTTTTGTTCTGGGGTTTGAACAAGCAGATTTACATTACATTAGTTTTGTGTTTTCCATTAGAAGGCTTCCACAGGAGAGCCCAGTAACCGCAGACCACAGCTGCAGGATGGAGGTGGGGGGATTCTCTAGCTCAGCTGGCTCCAAGGATCCCCAACTTCTGTGTCCCCCTCTATTTTCAGGGCATTCCTGCCTCCTATCTTATCAAGGGATTCACTTCTTTCCTTCACCTCTTCATTCTCCCGCCAAGCCAGAAAGGAGTCTCCATTTTTGTGACCAAATACCAGGGATCAGCCCCTTTCTCAAGAGACCTCTCAATTAGCAGGATGGAGAAAGCATCGTTGAACACCCTGCAGGTTCAGTCCTCAGCGTGCTGTCCTCAGTGGCTCTAGTGAAGAAGGGTGAGTCCCAGTCAGGTGAAAGGACACTGGGCCTGTTTCTACCAGCCCCTGTCCCTGTGCCCTTGCTTCTCACCTGTGCGCATCTGATTAATAATTGATCTTAGAGATGAGCAAATAAGCCAAGCATCTTTATCAGAGAGAGACAAATTTGTGACCATGTCCTTTTAAAACTTTAGTCTTTTTCCAGAACTACATTGCTGACAACGATAGGGTCAGTCCATAACCTCAATCCCCTGCATCCTCATAGGTAACAGCCCTCGCCAGTTCATGGATCTCATGGAAGCTGGACTTCATCCCAGGTCCAGGAGATCCCGGGTATGGAAGGGGGGCCCCCACATGGACAACAGTCCAACATGTCATGCCACCCACCACATTCGTGGTACAGGCACCTCCTCACCACAGGGGGTACAGGGGAGAAGCCAGAGTAGGGTGGAAACCTGAATGCTCTAAGACCCAGCACAGGAGTGAAAGGGGTGCTCAGTGAAGGGTGTTTGCTCAGCTCATCCCCACGACTCTCTGGGATGCACATGTGGTCCTGAATAAAGAGAAAGACATGACCGTGGTCACCCCTCAGGAGAAAAAAGACTCTTAGACATCCCTGTGGAAGCACCACTGGATGGCAGTCCACTGCCTGATGCATCTTCACATCATTTTTAATATGTGTGGCCCAGGCTGAATGTCACTGTGTTATCAGACAGCTTCCCAGATGGTCAGAGTAGACAGCAAGAGTCCAGACCCTCCAATCTGGACTCAGTCCAACCCAGTAAGGAATGTTTTTTCTTGTCATTTCTGAACTGAAGTTCCATCTTTTCTGGAGAAATGGAGACCGAAGGAAAGGAGCAAATGACCTGGGATTTTCACAGAGATTAAATAATAGTGGCCCAACAATTCCCCCTTAGCAGGTGACACAAGTGGATGTGCTTTTCAGTCTTTATAGGAATTAACCCCCTACAAAGGCCCATGTCTTGTTTTATGACTCGAGCTTTGTGCCTGAGCACTTGTGACAACCACCTGAGAACACAGTCCCAATGTTACACTTTAGCAACTGAGGCCCAGATGGGTGCTGTCACTTGTCCTCTTAGTAGTAAATACATAAATTGGATATAAGTCAGGCTCTGTGCTGGAAGGTGGAAAACTAATTTTAACCTCCATGTAGTGTCTTCATCAGACCCAGTATGTGCATCTCACTTAAGCAGGCACTCAGCGTGGTGGCAACATGAAAAAATAGCCAATCCCACACATTTCCATCATGCTCAGAGAGTCCAGCTCTGGGAGAGCAGAGACAAAGGGGGAGGTCAGCTGAGATACAAGTCAGTGGGAAGGAGCAGTCTGCAGCCTCGAGTCCCTGGCTGGGCCCTGGAGTCACGAGAGAACACCCACTTCGAGAATTGGACACATTGGCTCAGTTTCCCTGTCATAAGAAATTCAGGACAAACTCAAAGACTTTAGCATATTCCCTTAACCACATGCTCACCAACACACCACACGTTTTCCTGTACAGTCATCTCTTTGTCTCTTTGTTCCTGGTGAAGGGACTTTCCAGATGAAGGACCTGCAGGTTTTCTGTATGTCCCGTTTCAGGGTCTGATAATTCCTTCCCACCTTGGAAGTCCCAGAAAACCAGCGCACTGATTCCTCTTCAGGTTGGTGATGCCAGGGGCCTGAGGGTCTAGTCTAGTCTAGGAATGACGGATGTGAGTATCAGTTCTCCAGAATCTGAGGTGTAGAGCCTCTTGTGGGTCAAAGAAGAGAGAGCGAGTAACGAAGGAATTGAGACTGACAGACCTGGCACCTGGGTGTGGGGAGGAGCTTCGAGGGGGAATAGGAGGCCCCGTCTCACACTCCCAGGAGCTCTCATGAATCTTCTCAGAATTTGAACAAGAAAGTGCTCCCATAGTCACCACCGCCTGGAACAGTAAGCTCGTTAAGAAAGTACTGGGGTGTCGGAAAAGTCATGACATATTTTCTAGGGCCATCTGCTGCAAAAAAAAGGGTGATGACTTTTCCAACAAAGCAGCAGCTCCCTCAGTTCTGTGAACTTTTCTAGCAAATGATGGAACCAGAAAAGGAAGCAAAAGACACCTTTGATTCATATCCAGTTAGTCAGAAGCACAGGTGACAATGTGGACTTGTGACAGGTGTGAGGTTGGGGGTGGGTTGGTGACTGTGGAACTGAGCCCATAACCTGGGGGTAGGGGGTTCTGTTCAAACTCCATTATATCAGATTTGAATTGGATTGTAAGACACTCAGGTCGATGGAGAAAACTCGCATATCAGGAGAGCAGAGTGAAGAGAAGTGGTGTGGGCCTCCCCGGTAGCGCAGCGGTTGAGCGCTGGGTTGTGAAGCTGCCCGCGGCCTCTGCGGCGCCAGTTCGATCCCCAGCTGCTCCCCGGCCACCGGAGGAGGGTCCCACATGGCGCGCAGACCTCTCCTGCCGCCCGCTGCTCCCCTCAGCAGTGTACTTCAGTCCTTCTGCCTGCTCTGCTCCCTGCTCTGGCTCTGGTGAATTCTCTCACCCTCTGGCGCTTCTGACTGTACCCAGTGCATGTATAAACAAAACAAACAAATAAATAAATAAATAAAACATGCCTCTATAAAAAAAAAAAAAAAAAGAGAAGTGGTGTGAATGGGGTAGCAGCGGAAGAGGAAAGAGAAGCAGGAAGTTTTCCTGGATGCACGTGCGCCCCTATTACTCACAGGAACTCAGAGACTAGGAGCACAGGTGGTGTTTAGAACTGAAGCTCATGGAGAAGCTAACTAATGAGTGGTAGATTCTTAGAGAAGTGACAGGTAAAGAGAATTGAATTTCTCGGCAGGGATGATGGGAAGGCAAAGACATGGGGCAAGTGATGGAAGACAAGGGCTAGTGTTTCCTGCTCCTTATGGGGATGGCTGTAGTGCTGCCTCAGAGTCTAGATGTGTCTCTGGTAACTCACTTCTATCCTTCCTCTTTGGCAAACAAGGGAGGACCTAGAGCTTCTCTTGTACATTTATTTACACAACTGCCTTTGGCCCAAATAATATTTATGCCAAAGTGGGATAATAGGGCGTGCTCCTTTCAGGATGAGATATTCAGTAACCTGTGTCCTCACATCTTCCCAAACACACAGAGCTGCTGCTCCACGAGCTGTGTGGAATAAAGTGGTTGTTGTGAAGTGGGAACAGTATTTCTCCTTTGTCAATTAACTGAGGTTGACAAGAACCAACCTCCTTTAGTGAACACCATTGTTGGAAATTCAGTAGATGTGTTTTCTGCTTTAGTAAGAAAAAACAGTATGTTCTCTTTCTGTGCATGTAATTTCCAGGGAGAAACCTGGGCCCAAAACTTTAGGTGAGTGACCAGTCAGTCACTCAAAGAAATCTAAGGCTGGTCTCCTGAACCTAGCCCTCAATTTGACTAAATAATCTCTTCAAAAAAATTTCTGTTCTACTAAAAGTAAATTTGCTTCATAATAATAATTCTCTCAGTTAAAGTGACCATCATGTCAGTGGTGAAAAGAAATATTATTTTTGCTGTCCTGCTCTTCTATGCAGCTGACAGATACAATGCAGCTTTCCCTCATCTCCACGGGTGACTCTGCTAGTATCAAATAAATGGGAGCACTCAGGCCCCCAGATGTCTGCTCACCCTGCTGGTCAGACCAGGACCCTTGGAAATCAGAGATCTGAACCCCGTGATGGAGAGGGTGATGCATGATCATTGCTATGCTCTCGCTACTCCACAGGTGAGGCTGATCTTCTGTGGAATCTGTACAGTGGCTGTATCCACTCATTCATTGCATATTCATTGAGTGTCCACTGAGAACTCAGCACCATCCAGGTTGGCGGAAAGAGCAGCAAGGAAAACAGACCAAATTTCTTTTCCAGTAGAAATCATGTTATATTTCTGCAATGGTTAAACAAGAGACTGTTCTTATAATAACTCTAATGGTGAAGGAAGGAATAAAGGGGAACAATGATTAACCTGGAAGTAAGGCCGAAGAGTCTCAGAGAAGGAGGCCCTTGGGAAGGTGAAGATGTGGGAGCCAGTGTTCATGTTGTAAAAGGACACAAGTCCAGTCTTATAGTCCAGAAGAACCCCCACCAGCAGGGGCCGCTCTTTCAATGGAAGGGGAGTTGGGGGAGAGGTAAGGGCCATATAGCCATTATTCTGGCAGAGTCTGATGGCCCAGATTCCAGACCGAGGCTCTGGGGTCATGCCCCTGTCCCTCTGCACATTTTCTAGACAAACTCCTAAGGCCCACCCAGATCCTTTTCCCACATCCACTTCAAAGTAACGTCTTCCTGAGGTGAAGCCCTCACAACCCAGGACACAGGGTAAAGCACGGAATCTCTTAATACTGAAATGCTTCTTCTGGGGGCTGCCACGGGTCACACGTCTCCGATCGGCAGACAGAATTAGTTCACAATGAGCTGTGTCTGGATCCAGAGTCACGCTGACTGATAAAAGAGAAAGACACATTTTATTTGCTGAGAATACAGAGCACTTCAAGTACAACTTCCTGGATTCAATTGCAGCCTAGTTCTTTTAGCTCTGTGAGTCACTTTCTGAGGCTGCATACTATAGTAGGAAATCATCACACCTGAACAGTAATGGTGGGGAGGATTGAAGGAGCTAATGGAAGCCTAGTGCTTGGAGACATTCCTGGTATTTGGAAGTAACCAATAAGTGGAAGTCATATCCTTGAGCTTATTTGAAGACTTAGTGGCCTTGCTATGCACTCACTAAGGGGTGCCTTCTAGAGCTGACAGTGTTCTAGAAGATGAGGACAGCATCTATTCAATAATCAGAAGGAAGCAAGATTCATAAATTCTGTAATCATAAGAGGTGAATGCTGCCCACTATCAGAGGCAGCTTGGAAGTGGATTATTCACCAGTCTAGCCTCCAGATGGGAGCCCAGCCCAGCAACACATTTATTGCACTCTGTAAGGCCCTGAGCATAAGTCCTAGCAGATGTGAGCCACACATATCTGAACCACAAACCTGTGAGATAATGTGTGTGTTGTTTTAAGTGACTGAATATTCTTATAGCCATAGAGAATCATTTCATCTTCATTCAGATTTTAGAGCCAAAGGAATTATTAAAACAATTTCGTTTGAATTTTCTAATTGTGGACACATGGAACATGACAAGTACTAAATAAGAATCAAGGTTTTGGATTTGGTAATACTGGCTTTCATTAAGATTCAAATATTCATGGCGTCATAATCCTTTTTCTGCTTAGTCCTGAATACTGATCTATCTTTCTTAAATTTCACTGAATGTTTATCAAATGTTAACAATAAACATCATGATGAGGATTGTTCTAAATACTTTACACCTGCTGTTGCATTTTTTTTTAATGAAAACTCAGTGAATTAAGATCTGTTCATATTTGTATTTTCCAGAATGGGAAAATGTGGTAGTGGTTGGCCTGGCTGATACAGCAAATCAACGGGAGAGGAGGAATTCGAAGAGCCTGTAGATAGAACAGTTTGCCACTTCCCTGTCTACACCCAAGGGAGCGTGTTCCTGACCCACTGAAAACAGCTCAGCAACCTCTCTGCCTATGAATCTGAGCAGGACAGGTAGGAAGCTTGGCTACCACTTAAGGGGCCTTTTCTGTGAAGCACTAAGGCAGTTATTTCCTTCACATACCTTGGTAGCGCTTTATTAATTTCCTCACATCACAGTAAAGCTCAGAAACATTGCACACAGTTTGAGGGACCAAAGACACAGCCTCTGGTACTTTCAGCTCCACATCTGAATGCCTAGATTAAACAGACAACAGACCTTCTGCAGTGGACATTCCATTTGTCTCTGGACCCCAACACATCCTCACTTCCCCTTAACGATGTGTTAAGACAGACTTACCTTTTCAGTGTATCTTTCATACCCTACAGTGAAAACAAAGACAAAAGGTGCGTGTCGGAAAACAGTATGTCATGTCACTTGACACCTGGGGTTACTTATTATGAACACTCCACCCCAGGAAGTAGAGTGACCCAGCCTGAGACACCCACACATATGCAGGTAGAACGATTCACATCCCTTTCCCCTAGGATAGTCCCTGCCAGTGTGTTGTGTGTGATCGCATTTGCTCAGGCTTGTGCGGAGTCATGGAGTCTGCATTCACATTAGCCTGTGACCTCAGGGACTTGCTCATGTTACCTTTTGCTATAAGTGACCTAATTTCTGTCTGAGGAGCCCATATCAGAGATCACTGATGACAAAGGTCCTCAGTGGGGAATGGATGCCCAGACCCTGGTTCTGGGCCACTGAGGTAGAGGCAGCCGGTGTCACCTGCTGAGGGCTCTGTCACACTACAACCTCACCCTCATAGTGTAACTACCAGTCTGCAATAGCAGCTGGAGTTCAAGCATTTTTGTTCACCTGCTGGAAGCTTCAGGCAGTTGAAAGCAGGTCCCATAAGAGCTTATGGCCCACGACAATAAGTGAATCAGGAGAAGGTTATCATTTTTTTTTGGCTGCCTCACTCTATCCATGAGATGGCTAGAAAGGATCCCATGAACAGTTGACAAGGTCAAATAAATGGCAGGAAGTTTTGCTGTGGTTCCATAAAAACAGGAAACATCCATATCTACCCAGAGTAAGTTTAAATTTCTGATTCACATGCTGACCCCTGGACTGCAAGGCCATCAGCAGATGTGGTTATAGATTTTCAAGAATGTTTCTTTAATTTTGGTGCCACAATTAAGTGAAGTAGACAGGTCTCAGAAATCTCCCCAGGCTCCCTCATCATTGTCCACTCAATAGTTAGGAACAGATGAAACTTCCTTTCTTTCCTAGAAGATCTCAGCCTCTCTTACCTGCAGCAAATTCTGGACTGATTCTTGACACATCTTCTCTAATTTCATGGTGTGGCACTCAAGTTCAAAGCTCTGCTTTCCCAGACTGGCTTCACCTTCCTGCAGTCTCTCCAGCAGCTTCTCTTTCTCATTCTGCAGTCTCCACAGATAAGCTCTCTCCTCCTCATCGAGGAAGTTGTGGAGAGTCCTAAACTCCGACTGTATTTCTTGTCTCCGAAGCTCTATGTTCTCCTAGAATCAAGAAAGTAGGCAGAAAAGGGGGAAACAACCAAACATACCTCTATGGTGAGTCAGTAAACACAGGTGGGACCAAGACACAGTGCAAATCTGCTCACTCACAGGAGGAAAGCAAACTATGACACGTGCCCAACTGGATGCATCATGAAGATTCATGGAGAAGGACATAAGCCAAAGAGCAAAAACAAAAGACCGTATGAGTCTTCTCATATTAGGTCCCAGTCATATTTGGATATAAAAGAAGTAGAATGGTGGTGCCAGGATCTGGGAGGAGGGACCAATGGATTTTATTGTTAATGGATGTAGAGTTTCTGGTTCAAATGCCAAAAAAGTTCTGCAAGTGGAAAGTGGCATCCAACAGCTGTAAAACAACTGAACATAATGCACTGGGCTGTTCAGTTAGAAATGAGTAAAATGGTGGGCCTCCCCGGTAGTGCAGCAGTTGAACTGGGCTGCGAAGCTGCCCGCAGCCTATGCAGCACCAGTTCGATTCCTGGCCACTGGCAAGGGTCCCACATGGTGCGCAGACCTCTCCTGCCGCCCGCTGCTCCCTTCAGCAGTGTATCATTGGTCTGCCTGTACTGTTTCCCACTCTGGCTCTGGTGAATTCTCTCACCCTCCCGCACTTCTGACTGTACCCAGTGCTTGTATGTATGTATAAATAAATAAATAAATCTTTAAAAAACAAACAAAAAAAGAAATGAGTAAAATGGTAATGTCAGGTAGTATGTATTTAGCACAAACACCCCTGAAAAATATGCTTAGCTTACGTGGGTCATTTTCCCATGGGCCCTGAAACTCAAAATCATCCAGCTCTCTCTGCAGAGTCAAGCCCAAGAGGCAGACACTCAGATGTGGGAAAGCTGATCCTAGCTCTGTTGGCACCTGCTCACTTTCCTTCATCTCATCCCAGAGATTAAAGAAGGAGAGGGCAGGAGTTGCAGAATCATGAAATTAGCCAAGATCAAATTATTTATCATATAAGATAAAACCAAGTTTTAGTGGGGATGTAAGAAGCTATCTGTGTGTGTGTGTGTGGGGGGGTGTGGATTTCTTCAAACAAAGTTTATAACGAATATAAATGATTCTGAATTTAAGACATCAGACTGGTAGGAATCTATGATTCTCAACAGGGGGAGGTCTGGATAGTTACCAGAAATATTATTGCCTTAAGCCAGGATTCAGTTATCATCCTTATGGCTGAGACTAAGAAAAACACTGAGAGACTCAGTTTTCTCTGGGGAGGACAGAGTGTAATTTCCATGGGTGCTTTCTCAAGTCACACAGTACTTCAGTGACTGTGGTGTTGTGGGAGATGTTGTGGCACTGACATGGTTTCCTATATGGTGTGTAGCAATAGAAGTTCTCCCCACTACCCAAGACTCCAGAAGGGAGGAGACAGAGGCAGTTGCAATGCTACAGTGACAGGGATCTCCACTTGCCGGTTCCTAGCAAGGTCCTCCAAACTTCCGAGGATTTTAACATGAGGATAGGAGGAGTTTAAATTTCACCTATGCACATCTACAAAGAATAGGACAAATGTGGGAAGAAACTCTGAAAGAGGAAAATGACTCATAAATTTGATAACTAAGGGATGGATTACATCCATATTTCCATAAAAGAATGTGTTTCTGATCCTGCAGAGTCTGGCCAGCCACAGACACTGTCTCAGAGACCCACAGTTGCAGTGCAAGTGTGCAAGTTCTTGCAGAGGTCTATCCTCATGAACAGTCTCACAAGCTTGAGTTATGGGATTGTCTTCTGCACTGGTCCTCTTTTTTGTTTCACTAAAGTTGATATTGGAACCTGGAATATAGAGGGTCAGACCCTGTGCTGCTGTAAATGTGCCCAGTTGAGTTCATGATCTTCAGACAGGAGGTAATTTCAGTCATTGAAAACTTGAAAAGTGAAAAATGCAGAGGACGTCATCAACATGGCAGTGAGGAAACGCTGCGAGTAAGATCTCCCATTTAAAAAAAAAAAGTTAATAGGGAGGAAAAGTGGCAGGTCCCTGTGAGAACTGGGACATGGAAGATAAACGGGAGACCTAGCAAAGTGCCCAAAGAAGAAAGCTGCCATAAAAGAGGACTAGAAGGGAGGAAAACTCAGAACCCTGCTACCCTCCCCCACCCACAAAGTTGGCACTCTCCGACCAACAGCAAGGAGGAAAAAAACAAAAAATACTGAAACAACCAACAAGAACAAACTATGCATCAAGCTGGACTGTGAGTGGAAAGGAAATTTTTCAGCCACCGCACCCTGTGAACTGGAACTGTGGAGAACCCTGCAGGATTCACCATGGAGGTGAGCGAATGGCTCCGGGTACCATTGGAGAAAAAGAAAGACTCCCAGGAGACCTACAAACAGCCCAAGGCCAGCCAGTAAGCTTGTGTGGAAAAGCAGCACACTTGAAAAGCATAAGCAGATCAGGGCTGCCAAGGTCCCTGCACCTGAGACCTAGGCTTGTGGGAAGACTCGCGTGCATGGGGGCCCTCACTGAGGTGTATGTCCCTTACTGAGTAATCAGAAACCAGGCACCCTGACAAGGGAGCAGGGTGCAAAAGGTGCCATTTCTGTGGACACTGAACTGGGCTACAGCCTGCGTCCTGGACCTGAGGGCTTTGGGAACTGAGACCCGGGGCACGGAATTCAGGTCGTGGGATCCCCACGATGGTGGGAAACAAGGCAAACACAGCACCCCCACACCATTGAGGCTCTCCACGCCACTCCCACTCTGTTCCCCCCGGACTCACGGGGTTAAAAACAGTTCCTGAAGGACACTAGGAAAGATCTCTGGTGCCAGGAAAAAAAAAAAAGAAAACACCAACCAAGCAACCAGAAAAAAAAAAAAACAAAAAACACCACACCTTATAGTTGGAAACCAGGGATCACAAAAACACCCTCAGGCACTGAGAGAGGGTGGGCCACGCAAATGGGGGTAAGGAGGGCAATAAGGCCTGGAGCAAGACCAGGCATGCAGGGGAATGCATACCAGCACCGCCTTTTTTAGAACAGGGACCTTTCTTTAGTTAAGACTGCTTGAAACCGGCAGAAGGCTCCTGGAGGAGCCAGAGGTGGGTTGGGAAGTTCGCCCAAGCCAGGCCCCTTCTGGCCAGCTGTCTGAGCCAGAGGGGGAGTGGGCACCCAAAGCCTGGGCAGACCGGGTGTGCAGGGGAGAGCGTCTCCGCATTGCCACTTTAGAACAGGGACCTTTCTTCAATTAAGACTGCTTGAGGGCCTCCCCAGTGGCGCAGTGGTTGAGCACTGGGTTGCGAAGCTGCACGCAGCCTCTGCAGCATCAGTTCGATCCCCAGTTGCTCCCTGGCCACCGGAGGAGGGTCCCACATGGCCCTCAGACCTCTCCTGCCGCCCGCTGCTCCCCTCAGCAGTGTATTTCGGTCCTTCTGCCTGCTCTGCTCCCTGCTCTGGCTCTGGTGAATTCTCTCACCCTCCCGCACTTCTGACTGTACCCAGTGCTTGTATAAATAAATAAATAAATCTAAAAAAAAAAAGACTGCTTCAAACTGGCAGAGGCTCCCTGTGCAGCCAGAGGGAGAAGGTTCCCTGCTCAGTCAGAGGTGACCTGAAGGCGACCACAAGCCTGGTCCCGACTGGCAGGAAGTTGGAGCCCAGAGGGGGATCCAGTGATTTGGAACCCAGAGTCCAATCCAGATGACCTTCCTCCAGGGAAGTTTGTGGGACTTCAAGACACACCTTTGTAATTAAACACAGAAGGAGGAAATATTCTGTGACAGTGACAATTAACATACTCAAAGTACCACTGCCTCGCTAGACTTCTAGCATAACAGTATTTGACTCATTAAGACTGCCAGTTTCTGAACTCCACAAAGAACACACCAAAAAGATGTTGGCCAGTACCAGCACCACAGTGTCCCAACAAACGGCAAATTAGAAAACAGGCAGTAGGGAAAAGAAAAACTACATGCAACCCAGCAACTCCTCAGGAAAAAGACACACCACAAAAGAGAATAACACCCACCAGATTGCAATGACAGTGACTTGGAAGAACTTCTGCACCTTCCAGAAAGATAATTTAAAATTGCTATGATTAAAAATCTGAAGGAAGTCAAAAATGACATGGGAAAAATAATAAAAGAGCAGAAAAATGAAATTGAGTCCCTAAAGAGGGAGAGGTTTCACTGAGAGGCCTGTGTGGTTGCAGGCAGGTGGCCTTGACAGGTCACGGGCAGGCAGGAGGCTGATGCCCTGCAGACGTAGAGTGTTGTTAAAAAGAGGCACCTGTGCAGTCCAAGCCCAGAGGGGGAGCGGAAACCCACCATCCGGGCAGACCAGGCTCACAGGGAGTGAGTCCCGCATTGCCATTTTAGACCAGGGACAGTTCCTCAGTAAAGACTGCTTGAAACCAGCAGAAGTCTCCCGGAGGAGCCAGAGGTGAGCTGGGAAGTTCGCCCACGCCAGGCCCCTTCTGGCCTGCAGTCTGAGCCCAGAGGGGGAGTGGGCACCCAAGACTGGGGCAAATCAGGCATGCAAAGGAGTGCAAACCCGCATCACCTTTTTAGAACAGGGACCTTTCTTCAGTAAAGCCTGCTTGAAACCGGCAGAAGGCTCCTGGAGGAGCCAGAGGTCAGCTGGGAAGTTCGCCATGATGCCAGCCAGTACCAGCAACACAGTGTCCCAATGCATAAGGCAAATTAGAAAACAGACAGTAGGGAGTAGAAAAAAGCACATGCAACCCAGCAACTCCTCAGGAAAAAAGCACACCACAAAAAGAAAAGAACCCCCCAGACTGCAATGAGAGTAACTTGGAAGAACTTCTAAGCTTCCAGAGAGAGGTAAGGGAAAAATAATCAATGACCAGAAGAATGAAATTGAGTCCCTAAAGAGGGAAGTAAAAGAAATGCAGGAGATCAAAGAATTAATGGAGGTGCTAAAGAACTCTGGGAAAAGCAATGAAAGCAGAATAGATGAAATGGAAGAACAAATAAGCACTCTTGAAGACACAGAAATAAAAAGACCAAAACAGAAAAGGAAAGAGAAGTACGAAGGAAATAGACCAAAGAAAGACTTCAGGAACTATCTGACTCCATGAGGAAAGGAAATATAAGAGTTATAGGAATCCCAGAAGGAGAGGAGAGAGATGTAGGTAGAGAGAATATATTCAAGGAGATAATTGAAGAGAACTTCCCAAACGTGAAGAAGGAGCTGAAAATTGATATACAAGAAGCAGGAAGAACACCAAACTTCCACAATGAAAGGAAAAATACAGCAAGACACATAATAGTAAAGCTCCCAAGAATCCAGGACAAGGAAAAAATAATGAAGCTGACAAGAAGGAAGAAACAGATAACAATAAAAGGAAAACCAATCAGACTGACATTAGACTTCTCCGAAGAAACACTACAGAAAAGGAGAGAGCGGAGGGAAATAGTCAACAGACTCCAAGAAAACGAATGCCAACCAAGAATACTCTATCCCGCAAAGCTCTCCTTCCTCTATGAAGGAAGAATAAGGACCTTCCCAGACAAACAGAAACTCTGGAATGTCATTACGACTAAACCTCCACTACAAAAATACTACAAGGAGTCCTAAAGTCAGAACCTCAGAGGGACAAATAACAAAGAAAGAAGGCCAAAAAGAAAAAGTTATTAAAAGAATAAATAAATAAAATAAAAGGAAAGACAAACACAATTGCAAATACAGATGTTAATATATCAATATTAACTCTAAATGTAAATGGACTAAACTCTTCAATAAAAAGACACAGAGTTGCAGGCGGGATTAAGAAACAAAACCCAAC